TCTTCTTCTTCTTCTTCTTCTTCTTCTTCTTCTTCTTCTTCTTCTTCTAATTCTTCTTCTCCTCCTCCTCCTCCTCCTCCTCCTCCTCCTCTTCCACTCCTTCCCCCACTCATTCTCTCCATTTTCTCCTCCTGTTCCTCCTCCTCCTTCCCCTCCTCCTACTCTTTCCCTGACTCCTCCTCCTTCTTCTCCTCTTTCTCTGACTCCTCCTCCTCTACTCCTTCCCCCACTCCTCCTCTCCATTTTCTCCTGTTCCTCCTCCTACTCTTCCCCTGACTCCTCCTTCTCGTCCTTCCCCTTCCCCTTCTCTTTTCCCTCCATCTTCTCCTCCTTCCCCTCCTCCTCCTCTTCTTGTTTCCTACTTTCCTTTTTCTTTCCTTCTGTCCTTCCTCTTGTACTACTCCAGGTATCAAGGGAGATATAAGGATCTGGCTCGTTTGGTGTTCTTAATTGATGCTGTCTCTCCATCTTCTTCTGGGTCTGCATCTTCTTCTTCTGGGTCTGCATCTTCTTCTTCTTCTTCTTCTTCTTCTTCTTCTTCTTCTTTCCTTCTCCTCCTCCTCCTCCTCCTCCTCCCTCTCCTCCTCCTCCTCCTCCTCCTCTTCCTCCTCCTCCTCCTCCTTCTCCTTCTCCTCTTCCTCCTCCTCCTTCTAATTCTTCTTCTTCTTTTTCTCCTTCTCCTCCTCCTCCTCCTTCTCCTCCCCCTCCTCCCCCTCCTCTTCTCCTCCTCCTCCTCCTCCTCCTCCTCCTCCTCCTCCTCCTCCTCTTCTTCTTCTCCTTCTCCTTCTCCTTATTATTATTATTATTATTATTATTATTATTATTATTATTTCTATATGCCCTTTATGGTATGAGAACCCAAGACATACTTTCCACATGGGCAAAGCACTATTTGCTGTTCTTATATGTAGTTTGGTTCTTGGGCAGAGGTGGCATTCAGCCGGTTCTGACCAGTTCTGGAGAACCAGTAGCGGAAATTTTGAGTAGTTTGCAGAACCGGCCAATCCTGCCTCTGACTGGCCCCGCCAACCCCGTCTCTTCTCTGCCTCCCATTGAATCCCAGCTGATCGGCTGGGTCTCCTTTGGTTGCCCTGCCCAGGAGAACGGATCTGGAAAGCAGGTTAGTAGGGTGGGGAAAGAATGGGAATTTTGCAGTATATCCTTCCCCTGCCACGCCCACCAAGCCACGCCCACAGAAGTGGTAGTAAAATAAAAATATTGAATTCCACCTCTGTTCTTGGGGTGTCACCATCACCGATAAAGTTTGGATAGAGAGAAAACCTGGGTGCAAGAGCCGTGAAAGCAGCATCCCCTCTCTGTTTCCAGCGGATTGGATCACGGCAGCCGGGCGTGCAGGGACAGAAAAGAAAAACGCCCGCCTGCCCTGCGGTGTTGGTGAGCACAGGAGCCTGAGGCTTTCTCCCTTGTTTTCCCGCAGGAGCAGCTGAAGCAGCGCTTGGAGCAGCAGGAGCAGGCGGTGAAGGCCGCCTCCGAGGAGGCCAGCGAGCTGCTGAAACGCTTCGATGAACTGAAGGAGCTGAAGCAGCACCAGGACTACCAGCACCTGCAGCAGGAGATCGAGAACAGGTGAGCCTCCAGAGGCCTCTTCTGGTGGAGAAACCGCCCGAGCCTCGATCGCCGTCTGATCCTGTTTGGATCTTGCGTCGGTGTCTGTAGAGATTCTCCGTCCTCCCGCCCAGGGTTGTAACCCCAGAATGCTTTTTTTCCAAGAGGCAGCTGGACTTTCTGTTTTTTTCCCTTGAAGACGTTTCGCTTCTCATCCAAGGAGCTTCTTCAGCTCTGACCGGATGGTGGGGAATGGAAGGATTTATGCTCCTTGCAGGCAGCTGGTCATTTGCCTCCTTTGAGAGGGTCGTTGAGGCCACTTGGAGGTTTGTCTGTCTCCTCAGGGTCACCTGAGCTGTGCAAATGGTTCCTGTATTCTGCAATTTCCTCCCCCCCTTTTGGAAATCCATTCCTATTCCCACACCAGTCAAAGGATGTTCATCCCAAACTGTATAGCTAGAAGTCTGTAGAGCTTCTCAGTCATCCAGGCCGTTGTCCCAAAGGTGCTTTTTTCAGAAGGCAACTGGATTTGTGTGTGTGTGTGTGTGTTTTATTTTGAAGAGATTTCGCTCTTCATCCAAGAAGCTTCTTCTGTTCTGACTGGATGGTGGGGAATAGAAGGATTTATCCTCCTTGCAGGCAGCTGGTAGTCTGCATCCTTTTAGAGCAGGGGACTTCAAACATGACAGCTTTAAGACCGGTGGACTTCAGCTCCCAGAATTCCTCCTCCAGTCATGCTAGCTCAGGAATTCTGGGAGTTGAAGTCCACCAGTCTTAAAACTCGCCAAGTTTGAAGAGCCGTGTGCTAGAGTCTCAAGTGTTTCTCCACCTTGCCAAGTTTAAGATGGACCTCGGCTCCCAGAATTCCCCTGAGATACTTCTTGAAAAGGTTTGAGGTTGAGAAAGACTGCCTTAAGACTTATAACCCTTAAAGCAAGGGTCTTCAAACTTGACAGCTTTAAGACTTGTGGACTTCAACTCCCAGAATTCCTCCTCCAGCCCTGTTAGCTCAGGAATCCTGGGAGTCGAAGTCCATAAACCTTAAAAACTTGCCAAGGTTTGAAGACCCTTGTTTTAGAGGGTTGTTGAAGCACGTGGAGGTTTACCTGTGTCCTCGGGGTCACCTGCGTGGTGCTCCTGGTTCCTGAAGTCTGCAATTTCCCCCCCCCCTCTTGAAATCCATTCCCACACCAGTCAAAGGGTGTCCCTCCCAGATGGTATAGCTAAAAGTCTCTCTCTGTGCGTGTCTGTTTCGTTCCAGCTCCAAAGAAGCTCAAGGCCAACAGGAGAAACTGAAGGAGGAGCATCGCCGCAGAGCCAAAGTAAGCAGAGAAATGGGCCAGGCAGGGGGGGGGGAAAGGGGGGGGGGTGTCTTGCAGTTCAGCCTTTTGCCCCCTCAACTAACCCCTCTTCAGCTACAAGGATGCCCGGTGTTTCCTATCCATACCTGGAGAGGGTCACGCCATCCACGCCTCCTCTGTTTCTTCTCTCTTTACATTTTTAAAGCGATGGGAAAGGAAGGACAAAGAGACAGAAAGAGGGAAGGAAGAACTGAGGAGAAGAAGAGAGATGGGTGTTCATAGTGTAGCCGCGTGAACGCTTATAAGGACTATGTGCTTTGTGGATCAGGGAACGCAACGTAGGCCCTGCTGCCGTTTTTAATCTGATCGGAGAAAAATAAATAAAACGGAAGGCCACCTGTTCAGCAGGTGGGGCCATCAGCCAGGCAGAAGCTCCCCCTTGGTGGAAGGGGTGTCCTTTCTGCCCAGGGATGTTCCACCAAGAAAGGGAAATATTTGTAGTTCAGGTTTGAAATGAGGAGTCCTTGGCGCTCTCTTGAATTTTGGTGGTTTTCCTTGCAGACGTTTCATTACCCGACTAGGTAACTCCGTCAGGGCTGGGAGGGGGTAGGGTTTTTCTCTCAGTTTATCTTCTAGTGTTGGTGGGAGTCTTGGAAGTTCTTTGGTTGGGCTGTTTACGGTCAGGGCAAGCCCCCACAGTATGTAAAATAAGAGCAAACCCCACTCCCTTCAAGCACTGATGAGGTTAGCTAGTTGGGTAATGAAACGTCTTCAAGAACACAACCCAAATTCAGAGAGCAGTGTTCCAATAGCTCAAGGGCTACCCCAAAGAAGAGGGAGTCAAGCTATTCTCCAAAGTAATTGGTCGCCAAGTGGTGGGCCGGGGACAAACTGGTGGTCCGCGAGAAGATTTGAGTGGTCTGCGGAGAAGTGTTCCCTCCCCCAAAGCAATTAATCCAGGCAGGGGCCGCCCAACCTGCTGTCTCCCCCCCACCTTTCGGCCGAGCGCAAACCTTACCTTGAGTAGAGCCACGTGAGCTGAAACTGGAAGGTAAGACCAACGGCAGGGGAGGGAAATCCGCCCCGGGGTGGCTTCCTGACGTTGGTGGGAGAGTCGGTCCCATATTCCAGAGGTGCCGTAGTCACAGGACTGGCCCTTTGGTCACCCCGGAGCAGCTTCTCCAGCCCATGGCAGGCCGGTGCACCCAGGTGGAGGAGTAGCTGCTCCAGGATGACCAAAGGGCCAGTCCTGTTGACTCCGGCAGCTCTAGAATATGGGACCGACTTTCCCACCAGCGTCAGCAAGCCAGCATCCGTCAAAATCCCTATTAGTGGTCTGCGGGATTGAAAATTATGGGTTTGGTGGTCCCTGAGGTACCAAAAGGTTCCTGCTCCAAAGCGCCAAAGGGCAGGACAAGAAACCACGGGTGGAAACTCATCAAGGACAGAAGCAACCTAGAACTAAGGAAGAATTTCCTGACGGTTGGAACGATTAATCAGTGGGACAAGTAAATGCTCCAACACTGGAAGTTTTTTAAAAAGATGTTGGATATCTATTTGTCTGAAGTGGTGTAGGGTTTCCTGCCTAGGCAGGGGGTTGGACTAGAAGACCTCCAAGGTCCCTTCCAGGTCTGTTATTCTATTCTAAATCGTAAAGCTCTAAGGATCCCACAATTTTCCTCCTCCTCCTCCCCCCCACCCATAAATCCCGCTCCCTTCTACCACTGATGATGCTACCTAGTCCGGTAATGAAAAGTCTGCAAGGGAAACCGCCAAATTCAAGAGAGTGCCAAGGACCTTCTGCCTGTCTTGGTGCTCCTTAACATTACCTGGGCGTAGGTGAGACGAAGCCTTAGCCTTTGAGCTGGCATTGCCCTTTCCCCAAACGGAAACTCTCTCCTTCCCTCCCGAAGCTTTTGAGCCGGAAGCTCCGTGAGGCCGAGCAGCAGCGGCAGCGGCAGGAAGACCTGGAGCGCCAGCGGCGGGAGGAGAGCCAAGAACGCCTGCGCCGCCTCTATGCCATCCAGGAGGAGGTTTTGCAGATCCACCAACAGATCGGCCTCAACGCCAGGCACAAAGACCTGCCCACCGTCGACTTCTCGCTCTACAACAACCGTGGCAATCAGCTCTGTGGGGAGGTGTCTGCCTTAGTCCGGATGGCCAACGAGGTAATAGCCATAGCCCTTATGTGCTGCTTTCCAGAGCCAGCCTGTTTCCCCCAACGATCTGGGTCCTCCTTTTACCCACCTTGGAAGGGTGGAAAATCAAGCTTAAGCTGGTGAGAATCGAACTGCTGGCAGTCAGCAGAATTAGCCTGCAATACCGCATTCTAACCACTGCTCCACTATGGGTTCCTTCCTTCCTTCTCCTCGTTTCCTTCTTTCTCATCTTCCTTCCTTCCTTCCTTCCTTCCTTCCTTCCTTCCTTCCTCCCTCCCTCCCTCCCTCCCTCCCTCCCTTCCTTCCTACCTTCCTACCTGCCTTCCTTTCTTCCTTCCTTCCTTCTCATTTGCTTTCCTTCTTTCTCATCTTCCTTCCTTCCTTCCTTCCTTCCTGCCTGCCTGCCTGCCTGCCTGCCTGCCTGCCTTCCTTCCTGCCTTCCTTCCTGCCTTCCTTCCCTCCTTCCCAACAGCACTTAGACTCATATACCTCTTCACCGTGCTTTACAGCCCTCTCTGAGCAAGTTTACAGAGTCAGCCTCTTGCCCCCCAACAATCTAGGTCTCCATTTTACCGATCTCGGAAGGATGGAAAGCCAAATGAACTTTGAGCTGGTCAGGATCGAACTGATGGCAGTGGGCAAAATTAGCCTGTCATTCTCACCCCTGTACCCAACATGGCTCTTAAAATAACAAACTTCAGAGTTCAAGAGAATCCGTTTCACCTCCTGGGTCACTCTGCTCCAATATAGGCAGTCCTTGGCTTACAATAGTTTGCTTAATGACCATTCAAAGTTACAACAGCGCTGAAAACAGTGACTTATGACTGTTTTTCCACACTGATGACCGTTCCAGCGTCCCCGTGGGCCCACGATCAAAATGCAGATGTGCTTGGCAATTGGCTCCTAATTATGATGGCTGCAGTGCGTCCCTCTGGGCCACGCGATCTCTTTTTCCAACCTTCTGAAAGTGAAGTGTCCAATCACACTTGGCCAGTAAAGAATTCATTCCTTTATTCATTCAAACTGGTTTTTCTGATTTTTGGTTTGTTGGGTTTTTTCCCCCTCCCAAAAGCAGGCTTTCCCCAGCGAGGCAGATGTGTCTTCCGCTGAGCACACCCTTCTCAAAATGCACCAGCTGCTTTCTGACATGCAGCAAGAAATTGCGCTCGGCCTGGAGGAGAAGAAGCGGCAGGAGGAGAAATTGGCTGCGGCTGCGGCTGCAGCAGCCGAGGCCAAAAAAACAGAGGAACTGCAGAAACAGGAGCTGGCAAAATCCCAGACTTCGGATCCCGGCAAGCTTGCTGGAGGTAAAACCCCAAAATGCAGTCAATGTATCTGCTTTTCTAGCGTCTTCAAGATTTTGTGGGGTTACAGCTCCCATCGTCCTCTCCACGGTGGTGCTTTTTCTTAAATAATTAGTCCTCTTTCGAAGCCGCTTTTACCTGGGTGTAGCTGACTCTGAGACACATCATTCACCGTCACCCTTGACTCTGGTTTCCCCGCAGCCCCTGGGTGTATCATCATTCGTATCCTCCAATGGGACACCTCCCTAGCCCAAAGCCATCAATCAGGCTCTCCGGTTGGAATTTTGCAGAAACTTCGGTCACCTAGTTACAATCTCTGAAAAACTATGCACGGAAAGCACTTTGGATTCCAAGCGGCCGCACTGCTCTTTCAAACTGCTCTCCGCCCTCCCTTTCTGTTGACAACTCTAAAACGGCCACAGAAATGTTTCGCGAGTTGACAGCCGTTGTAACTGAAGGAACAGTTGTAACGAGGGGGTCCTTTCAGCTTGCTTGCTTTCTTGCAGACCTTTCGTTACCCAGCTAGGTAACTGTCAACTCATCCAACATTCCTATGCCTGTTTTAGGAGGGGGAGGAAGGAAATTTGGAAGAGCGGCTGCAGCAGTTTGAAATGGGAAGTATCACTCCAACTCTTTCTCTTTAAATGGCTGTAACTAAAATACCAGGGCTTTTACCCACAAATAGATTTCATTGGAGAACGTGAGCGACGACACCCAGCCTGTGCTCAATTGGAGAATCTGGTGGATGAGACACCCCCGGGGAGGGGGGAGGCAGGGAAACAGGGTCACAGGGGACTGTAAACTACGTATGCCAGAGTTGGCTTCGTGCAGGGCAGTGCCAGTATATCAATAGCCCTTAGACTTATATACCGCCTCACAGTGCTTTCACAGCCCTCTCTAAGCACTTTACAAAGTCAGCCTCTTGCCCCCCAACAATCTGGGTCCTCGTTTTACCCACCTTGGAAGGACGGAAGGCTGAGTCAACCTGGAGCCTGGTGGGATTCGATCTGCCAAATTGCAGTAGGAGCAGCTTGCAGAACTGCACTCTTAACCGCTGCGCCGCGGAGGCTCTATATGTTGCCTCTAATGAATCCTTTGAAGTTTTTCTTTTAAAGTTTGGCTCAAGAATCATTATTTAATTAGGGCAGTTGCCAGAATCCTGACAGTGCTAGTCAAGAGTGCTGTTTGCTGTCAGACTCTTCCCCTGTCTGTGTGGGTGAGGGCCGAGATTAGAGACGGTTAGCTTGGGCCGTTTGCTGTTGGCTTCTTTGGCAGTTTCTTGACTGGGGTATGGCTTACTTGATTGTTGGTGTGATGTTAACCTTTGGAGTTAATCTATGCTGATCTGGGTGCTGATCGCTGGTGGAGTGATGCTGGAGTCCTTTTGTTCTCTTTTGGGCTGGTTTTATTGTCTCTTTTTGCAGAGTCTATAGATATTAACGTTTGCGTGTCCGTTGAATGGTTGTAAGCCAAGAACTACCGGCGCTAGTTTCCCACACTGCTCGTTTATCCGCTTGGCTGTCATGTCTCCAGGGCTTCAGGTAAAGGCAGACCCCTCCATCATGAAGTGGTACGAAGAGCTGCAGAAAGAATCGGAACGTTGTGTGGCTTCCTTCAGTCGCTTGGCCAACAGCAAAGACACGCAGGTAAGAATGTCGTAGAGCAGGCGTATATCCAACCTGGGCAACTTTTAAGGGTTCTAGACTACAACTCCCGGGGGCTGGACTAGAAGACCTCCAAGGCCCCTTCCAGCTCTATCCTATCCTATATCCTATCCTATCCTATCCTATTCTGTTCCTATTTCTAATTATATAGTCTACTGTGTTCTACTCTACTCTACTCTACTCTACTCTACTCCTGTAGTTGTTTTATTCTGTAACCTGTTCTGTGTTCTATGCTATGTGACGCCATTTCTATTCCTATTTCTATTCCTCAGCCACCACTTATACAAAACCATGACTTTTGAATACTGCACTAAGGTCATTCATTCTGAATGTTTTCCTCTTTTTCAGGAGAAAAAAATCAAAATGGAATTGCAGAAAGCCGCCACCATCCCTGTTAGCCAGATTTCTACCATTGCAGGTGAACCCTCACCTCTGCTTGTTCCTTGTAAGGCTTCTGGTCACAATATTAGCGGTTGATTAACCGCTAATCACTATTTTCTGTGCAGCAGCACTGGGGTTTCGTTGGAAACACGCGTCTAATGCACCATAGTTATTTCATGTAACAAATGTGGCAAACCCTTTGCACTACTCCTTATTCCTTTTTCTTTTAGTATGAAACGGACAACGGGCCACACAGTTTATGGACTGTAATTTTAGTATAGTTTAGACCATGTATAATTGACAGACTGGACTTTATCATAGATTTTAGTTGTTATTTATTATTTTATACTAGAATTTTTAATTGTATACTTACTGAGTGTTTTTATTTGTTCTGGTCTGTGACTGTAATAAACTGAATTGAACTATTCACTAGTCTAGGGAAGAGAAGGACCAGGGGAGACAGGATAGCAGTCTTCCAATATTTGAGGGGCTGCCACAGAGAGGAAGAAAGGGTCAAGCTATTTTCTAAAGCACCTGAAGGCCAGACAAGGAATAATGGATGGAAACTGACCAAGGAGAGATTCAACCTGGAAATAAGGAGAAACTTTCTGACAGTGAGAACAATCAACCAATGGAACAGCTTGCCCTCAGAAGTTGTGGGAGCTTGAAAGTTTCAAGTGAGACTTTCAAGAAGAGATTGGACTGCCATCTGTCAGAAATGGTGTAGGGATTCCCGCTTGGGCAGGAGGTTGGACTAGATGACCTATAGAGTCCCTTCCAACTCTGATTATCTGTTAGATCACTATTAAACTGTTTATCAATCCTGGGTGACAAACTCTACAGCAAGTGGAACAGATTCCTAACCAACTTAGGTGACAACTTTGTCATTGAAACAGTAGAAGAGGGAACTAGAGAAAAAGCTATATTGGACCTAATTCTTACTAATAGAGAAGAAGTGATAGAGGGAATTGAACTTGCTGGAACCTTGGGTGAGAGTGACCATGTCATATTGGAATTTGATATAATGCAAACACCAATCAGTGTCAATTTTAACAAACTCCAAGCCTTAGAAAAAAACCCACGGATAAAAATCCTAAAGAGGAAAAGAACTCAAGAAGCATGGGAAACATTGAAAAATATGATAATAAAAGCCCAGTCCAACACAATACTATTGAAAAAGAAAAACGAGAAATCCAAGAAGAAACCAACATGATTGCACAAAAAAAACTCTATCATAAACTGAAAGACAAAAAGGATAAGTACAAAAATGGAAAGAAGGATATATAACTAAGCCAGAATATCAGCAAATAGCCCGAATCTGCACAGATAAAGTCAGGAAAGCAAAGGCTCAGAATAAACCAAGGCTTGCAAAAAAAAAAGTCAAAGATAATTTTTTTAAAAAGGTTTCTTTCAACATATAAATAGCAAGAAAAAAGTCAAGAAAACAGTTGGTCCCACTAAACAGAGAAGGTGGGAAGGAAATAACAGGCAGTGGAGAGAAAGCGGAGTTGCTTAACTCATTCTTTGCATCAGTCTTCATGCAAAAAGAAACTGTAACCCAACCTACTAAAAACCTAACTGTAAAAGACTAGAAATAAAAATTAAAATAAGCAAGAAAATGATAAGAGAACACCTGTCTGACCTTGATGAATATATGTCTGAATATATATATGATATAACACCAAAAGCCACTTTCTTCGCCCCAATGCTTGCTTACATAATGTCACTTATTTCGAACGCATAAAAACCTGGCTTCTTGCGCCAGCTGCTTCCTCATTGGTAACTTTTTCTTCTGCTGGTTTTCACAGGTTCTCAACTGAAGGAGATATTTGAAAAGATCAACGGCCTCCTTTCAGGAAAATACGTGCAGTGCGGCGGCCATAAAATATCCGTCACGCAGCACCCCGAAGGCCTAGAGTTTGTTTATTTCAAACTGGCTGAAAAGTTTGTGGTAAGAAGGTCATATTGGCAAAAAGTTTGCCTCCCTCCCTCCTTCCTTTCTCCAGATCAAAAAAATGATTCTGCAAGGGTGGTGTTTTTAAATCATCATTTAACTCTGGCTTCTTTTAAGCTGCTTTGGAAATAGCAATAGCGGTTAGACTTACATACCGCTTCATAGTGCTTCCCAGCCTCCTCTAAGCGGTTTACAGAGTCAGCCTCTTGCCCCTCCAATAATCTGGGTCCTCATTTTACTGACCTCGGAAGGATGGAAGGCCAAGTCAACGTTGAGCTGGTCAGGATCGAACTCCTGGCAGTGGACAGAATTAGCCCGCAATAGTGCATTCTAATCACCACACTACCACAACTCAATAATTCAGTAAACAGAAGGAAGGAAATCTGGACAATTCAGACTGGGCGTGAAAAGGAGCTTGGCATTACAATTTGCACACAGGCTGTCTTTATACACCACCCTGCGCACAAGGCAGGATTTAGGAACGATTTTGAACCTATGTTTAGTGAGAGTGATAGGTGAAACTTCTCTTGTCCTTTGGAGCACTTAGCGCAGACTGAAATATCTATATTTGGGTTTTATTTTATTTTCCACCCCCCAGAAACAAGGTGAAGAAGAAGTGGCCGCACACCACGAAGCGGCGTTCCCCATTGCCGTGGTGGCGTCCGGCATCTGGGAGCTGCACCCCAAGGTGGGCACCCTCACCTTGGCTCACTTGCACAAAAAGTGTCCTTACGCCGTGCCCTTCTACCCCGCGATGAAGGAAAGCACCCCACTGGAAGAGTATCAGAGGTGATTCCCCTCAGGTGGGCAGGATGGGCGGTTGGGGAGCTCTAGTGAGGCTGCAAAGGCGGTCCTCAATTGGTAACAGTTCAAAAGCATGTGAAAAAAAAAACGCAAGTAGAAAAACAGGGACAACCTTGGGTGGGAAGGTAACAGCGTTCTGTGCGCCTTTGGTGTTCAGCTGTGCCGGCCACATGACCACGGAGATGTCTTTGGACAGCGCTGGCTCTTCTTTGGCTTTGTAACGGAGAGGATCACCACCCCCTAAAGCTGGAAACGATGAGCACATATGTGCAAAGGGGACTTTTACCTTTATACATTGACCTATAAACTCTGTGTAACTCCCAAGTACAATAAAACACATGCGATCTCTTTGACTTCTCCTTTACTACATATACATACTCGTTCTGCTATTGGGGTCTTCTTATACCTGCCCTGGGGGAGGATGTTAAATCTGGCTCTGAAGAATGCTATTCTATGTTTTGGGAAGATCAGGTCCTTTTTCCCACACGCCCTGTTTAATTCTGTTCCTACTGTGGAGGGGTATCCCCTTCAGTTCTAAGTGGAACTCCGTGTCTTTTATTCTGTGATCAGTAGCTACTTGCTTAGCTTGGTCAAAGCCTGAGGATCATCTCCACGTCTTCTTTAGGATACTTGGCTACCAAGTGAAGGATGGGAAAGTAGAGCCCCAGGATAACTTTCTCAAGCGGATGTCTGGAATGATCCGACTCTATGCGGCCATCCTGCAGCTTCAGTGGCCTTACCGAGATAAGCAAGGGGTGAGTAAGTGCGTCTTTCGTCATCGCTGATCAATCCAAAGTGGACTTTTCCGCCCTTCTGGCAGCCTCCGACCCCTTCCTTGCAAGCGGGCATCGTCCACTCCAACAGCCTCTGAATCTGTTCAGATATTTCACTCCCTCCGTTTAAGGTTGTAGTCTGAGTCTGATTCTGAGGAGGAGGTTGAGCAGCTGACAGGGAGTGGGAGTGTGGCTCCGGTGGTTGTGGAGGAAACTGGGGAAGGGCACATTCCGGCTGGGCATTCAGAGGAAGACCCAGGCCCACCCCTTCTTCATCCTAGGGCACGCAGGGAGGAACAGAAAAGGGAGCAATGTGGTTTACAGGGGAGGAAAGGGCTCTGATCTCCTTCATGGGCTGCAGCTGGGAGGACTGGTTAAAAGGACAAACCGCACATGGCAAAGTTGCTGGAAGCAAAGTGTGCATTATTCTTGTCAAAGCTTATCCGGGGGTTTGGCTTCCAACTGTGGTTGCTGCGTTATCTGGTGGAAGTCTGCAATTTATCATCCTGGCCTGCCCTATTAATTACTTTAGTGTGGTTTGTGTTGGTTTTTTTATTTCTAATTATCTTTACTTTGGGTTCGGCTGCATTTACTCCGTCCGTAGACTGTTTTTTTAAGAAAAGTTTGATGTCCAGCTGAGGACAATTGGACCTTGGGGCCAAGTTGGAGGCATTAAAAGGAATTTATTCTAAGTTTGTGACTTGGTTATTTTTGTGCCACGCCCCTTTGGGTCATCCCAGGTTGCTTCGGACGGAAGCCACCTACGGAAGGGAGCTTGAAACTAAAGTAGGGTGGGGTTTGGGGGGGGTTAAAATAGAGTAATTTAGGGGACTGGCCTTCCTTTTGTTCATTAGACTCACCCACATGGATTAAACCATGCATGGCGTTGGCTGGCACAGGTTTTGAACATGGAGCCGCTGGCAGATGTGACGGCAACGATTCTGTTTGATTTCCTGGAGGTAAGTGGAGCTCTTGTCTGCCTGTGGCTTTTTCCTTCTCCTTCCAGCTCATGAGTAGTTGTGCTCAGAATAGAAGAGGAGAGAATAGAATCGAAGATAGAATAGAGCAGAGCTGGATGGGACCATGAAGGTCTTCTAGTCCAGCCCCCTGCTCAGGCAGGAGAACCTATATATACCATCTCATACAAATGACTGTCCAGACTCTTCTTAAAAACCTCCAGTGAATTAACATTACCCTGTTTCCCCGAAAATACGACCTACCCTGAAAGTAAGTCCTAGCTAGATTTTTACACGTGCACCCAATATAAGCCCCACCCCCAAAAATAAGCCCTAATTAAGACCCCACCCACTCCAGAGTGGATGGGGAAAAATTAAGCTAGGGTGAGGATGGGGGAGGGTGGAGCTACCCTACTACTTACCTTTGGACAGTTGTAGCCAGGCCTCGCACACCCCGACACCTGCCTTGCCGGCCCATTTCTTCTGCAGGGCCTCTGTAGCTGATAACAAAACTCTGGATCGATCCAGAAGAAGAAAAAGTTCCCAAGGCCTCCGATAGCGAAAAGGAGGCCAGGGGCGACGCGCGCAAGTGAGGTTATAGCGGATAACATCCCCCCAAAATAAGACCCGGGTCCTTTTTTTTGATGGCAAACCGTATAAGACAGGGTCTTATTTTCAGGGAAACCCGGAAACCTTCATATGAATTAGAACAGCTGCTCTCTCTTAACTTGGATAAGTTTGAGGGAGATTTTGTTCTTCCTTTCCCAATATTATGGCTTGAAATTCTTCTGTTTTGTGCTCCTCAGGTGTGCGGGAATGCTCTCATGAAGCAGTACCAGGGGCAATTTTGGAAGATGCTTCTTCTGATCCAGGAAGAGTACTTTCCCAGGTATGGCCTGGAATTTTGAGGCAGTTCTGAAACGCGTATACTATCCCTTTACATTTCTTCCGGCTCCGAGGAAGGGATTGTCATGCTTTTTCGTTCGTTTGCCTTCTTCCCTGCTCCCTCAATTACAACTATTTGAATAAACTGGGACAGAGAATCCCCTCTGGGATGCATCGTGACTCTCAAAAGTGCTTCGTTCTTCTTTTCAGTCCCGATTATTGGCCAAACTGGAAGAGGACAGACAAAATCAAAGCCCCGACAGTGTAGCATATAAGGCGGTAAAGCCACCTTTGAATATTTGAGTCAGTCCCAACCGCTCTTCTCTTCTGCCCTCCAGGATTGAATCAATTACCAGCCCTGGAGAAATGGGCTCCCTCATTCGATTCAAGCAATTTTTAAAGGTAAGTTGATGTTCTCTCAATCTAGGTTTCAAGCTAAGACAACGACGGCTGAGTTTGGCTGGTTGTTTCCTTCCTCCTCCTCCCCCCACACCCCAATTCCTTCTATAGCACTGATGATGTTACCTAGTTTGATAATAAAATGTCTGTAAGAAGGTCAGAGAGCACTAAGGGCCCCACAGTTGTTGTCATTCTCCTCCTCCTCCTCCTCCTCCTCCTCCTCCTCCTCCTCCTCCTGCTCCTCCTCCTCCTCCTCCTCCTCTCCACAAAGCCCACTCTCTTCTACCACTGATGATGTCACTAGTTTCCCTAATGAAACATTTGCAAGAAAACAACCAAGCTCAGGGAGCACCAAGGACCCCCTCAAATCCAGAATGGGAACAACTTTCAGAGGAGCATCAGATCAGCCTTTCACACACACACACACACACACACACACACACACACACACACACACACCCAGCCAACAGCCACCTTCTCTGTGGAACCTTTCCTAGTCTCCATTGTCATTCTGCTTTGCTATTTATTTATTTTGTCAGTCCTCTCTGTTCTCATCCCTCCCCGAGGCACCCCAAGTGTGTCCGATTCGCTCCGGCCGTTCCCTCAATCAATATTAACCCCCCTTAGCCTCATTTTCCCCCATCACACACAGCGCAAAACAGCTTTTTGCACCCTCATGCCTGTGTTGCCCCGCTTGCCTTGTCCTCGGGTTACGCATCTGTGTTTGATCGCCCGGCCTTTAAAAGAAATATTTTCTTCTCTCCCAGGAATGCTCGCAACAAAAGAACATTCCACTGCCCAAAGGATATTTGCCACCTTCTTTTTGGAAATCGTGAGGCTGGGATTCCTTGCACTTTTACAGAAGGTGAAAGAACAGATCGCTTCAGGGTGGTGGGTTGTTTTTTGGGGGGTTTTTTTGGTTATAAAAAAGTCTGTAGGCAGACATTTTTAAAAACAACAAAACCAAACAATGTTTGGATTCTCTGCAAGAATCCAGAATGGCTAGTCAGCTTTTATTCAGATTGTCAAAGGCAATCGTTTATCTCCCAAGATTTTCCGCTGGGATTTGCACTCGCATCATTGCACATGGGTGTGTCCTCCTGTTTTTCCTGCTGTGTCATACCCACTCAAATTGGTTTTTTTCCAGTGTCCTCCTGTGCTTTATTAATGTCAGAAGTTTAATGCACATCAAAAACCAAAGCATCACCACCTCAGGGTCTGAAACCCTGGGATTGAATTGGAAGAGAGGTTAATTCTTAATGAAAGTACTGCAGTCCTTTGCAGCAAAAAAAGCCTGGATTAATTGCCTTGAATTAAAAAAAAAAGCAGGCAGAGTGAAAACCTTTGAGCTAATCCAAGCAATGCTGAAAGAACATGAATTGATTTGTGGCGTTCATTCTTTTTTTTAAAAGGTTTTACAGAGCTTTGCATTTATTTAAGTAAGATCCATCCCCCTCCTCAAAATAGAAGCATGAATGGGAAAAGAAGATCCCTGCTGGCTGCTTAATTTTCATAAAATCAAGGGAAATTGCTTAAAATCAGTCTGGAAGGTTTTCTCTCTCTTGGATCCAAGCCTATACATGAGCAATAGGACTGTGGAATTTCCACTTTTTTTGCTATTTGAAAGCGATTGGTGGAAAATGAAGAGGAGTTTATATTTTTATGCATTGGTGCTAAACCGTGGAGTATTTCTGATCATATATGTGTGTGTGTGTGTGTGTTAAGTTTTTGCAGGTACTTATATGTGTGGTATTCAGCTTTGTTCGGGTATTTTCCCACGTCATTGTAGTTGTGCTTTTAAAGTTATAGCAATGTTTTGGCAGAATCTCATTTGCCATCATCAGGCTTCTGTATTGTTCTATACATATTGTTCTATACATATATTCTGTATTGTTCTGTACAATATTCTGTATTGTGAACACAATACCGAAGCCTGATGATGGCAGATGAGATTCTGCCGAAACGTCGCTACAACTTTAAAAGCACAACTATAATGACGTGGAAAAATACCCGAACAAAGCTGAATACTATACATAGATACATACATACATACATACATACATTACATACGACATGATCCGGCTTGCTGGCAGAGTAGAACTACAAGTCGACAGAGCAATGATGTCAGCTCAATCAAGCATGAAATGTTGAGCTTTTGTGTTATTTTGCTTTTGTGTCTTGTTTTACAATGATAAAGATAATAAAAGCTTGGGAAGAAGCTTCCTTGAATGCCATGAAAGCTTAAATGAACTTTATTTTAAAGACTTCATTGAGTAACTTATTTTAATGTATACGCACGCCTGTTTTCAAAGTAAAGGCTCGGAATTTATAATCTCAGGTTATTATTTTTTTACAACTTTGGTCTCTTTCTTATTGGCTTAGTTTCGAGATGGAACTCATAATGTGATCCAAATGGATCATAAACAGATCCAAATGGCTCTTTGAATGTTTAAGGTTGTTCTGACCAAGACTTCCTGAGACTGTAATTAAGCACATGCTTAGTTGAAACGATTCTGGTTTAATTTCAACACTGGGAATTATGTTCATTCCCAGCCCGTAATGAGTCCCAAACAGTCCCTCGAGATAAGCACCCACCTTTCTCTCCTTTGAATTGCTGCCAACAACTAAAGTGCCAAATTAACTATAAAAAACCAACTGAAGTACAAAGTCCACACAGCTTCAGGGTTTAATCCAAACAAGCGAACCTTTGCTTCCTGCAAAAGGTTTCTCTATCTTTGCACTTCCTTTATACCTTTTGAGGAGGAGCAATCACCTCCCAGCCTTACTCCCAAGTCGCCCCTTTTGTCTTAGCTGCTCTTGCCTTCTGGCAGCTCTGTGCATACGCGCCCTGGGAACAGGCTCCCCTTGTTCCTCTGCCTCGCTGCTGCCAGACTTCGGAGGCTCTGGAATTAGCACCCCATGGCCCTGACCCCATCTCTGCATCGGACACAAGGACCCTCGTCCAAGTCCTCTCCAGACTCCCGGACTGGTCCCCGTTCTTCCCCACTGTCCAATTCTGCTGCCGTCTGCACAGGCTGCTGGCAAACCACAACAAAGGTTGCTGACCCCTGCTTTAGACCAGCAGCTATCTTTTGAGCATCAGGGAACAGTTCCACCGAGAATTTTTTTTTCTTTTTCTGTGAGCCAGAGGGTGCGTGGTTTTGCGTGCTGCCTGCATCCGGAGAATGGGGCTTCTCTTGTTTTGCGTGGCCTGGTTGCTGGTATGCCGTGGCCCTGTGCCAGTCCCCAGTCCGGGGGAGTTTGGGACCCCTGCTTTAGACCATAATGGGAATAATAAAAGACTTGGGGAAATGACTCAGATCTTTCAAAAACCCTGGCAGCGATTTGTATGCGCTTAGAGAATAGAATTGAATTCTTTCTTGGCCAAGTGTGATTGGACACACAAGGAATTTGTCTTGGTGCAAATGCTCTCAGTGTACATAAAAGAAAAGAGACATTCGTCAAGAATCATAGTTACAGGGTTATATAGTAAATAAAATATCATCATAGGGTACAATAAGCAATCAAATCATACTAGGAAACAGTCAATATAAACCGTAAGGATACAAGCGACAAAATTACAGTCGTACAGTCACAAGTGGGAGGGAATGGGTGATAGGAACAATGAGAAGATTAATAGTAATAGTAGTGCAGACTTTGTAAATAGTTGGACAGTGTTGAGGGAATTATTTGTTTAACCTACATCCATATGTTTCCGGGAATCAGTCCTCTGGAGCAGGCTCACATAAGATTGTCAGGCCACTGTAAATCAATGAATTCAGTGCGTCCGTAGCTATCTAGAATATGAAACTTAACTCAGCAATCCTGGGCTTCTCCAGTCCGAAAGCCAGGTTGATGTTGAATTGGCGTTTTGCTGCATCCAAAGATGTCTGGGAAATTCATAATAACTATCTTGGCGTCCAAGCAAAACGCAGAACCTGGAGGAAGGAAGGCTCCCATCACCATCTCTTCCTCATCCAAATTGCGATAAGTTGTGTTCCTTCCAGACAATGCCAGTGCCGTTGCGGTCTCCTGCCTGTGGGTGTTTGCTGCAGCTGAATACTCTGCCGCTTGTCCTTTTAAAAAACATATATATATATTTAAATAAAAGAACGAAGGAAGCAAAGCTTGGCTCCAATTCTCCAGCATCTGTTCCAAGTTGATGCCAAGGGGGAATTGAGCGATCTTGCTTTGGACAATCAAGATGAAGAAAGTTAGGAAGCAGCAGCATTGGTCAATAATTGGTGTATTGGTCAATAATTCCCTTCTGTTGCTGTTGGGAGAGAGAAGGAACTGGCTAGAAGCTTCTTATTTTGGAGAGGAATGTCTGGAGATTCTCAGTCATCTAGGCCAGGATTGTCCCAAAGACGTTTTTTTCCAGAGGCAGCTAGACTTTCTGGGTTTTTCTTTGAAGACATTTCACTTCTCATCCAAGAAGCTTCTTCAGCTCTGACTGGATGGTGGGGAATAGAAGGATTTATACTTGCATTTACACCCCTTGAAGACGGAGCTGGTCACCTGCATCCTTTTAGAGAGCGGTTGAGGCAGCTTCAACAGTTCCAAGAAGGCTCCACACCCTTTTGCAACCACTCAGATAAACAGATCAAACCTCCAAGTGGCCTCAACGACCCTCTAAAAGGAGGCAAATGACCAGCTGTCTGCAAGGAGCATAAACCCTTCCATTCCCCACTATCCAGTCAGAGCTGAAGAAGTTTCCTGGATGAGAGGCGAAATGTCTTCAACGAAGAAACAGAAAGTCCAGTTGCCTCTTGAAGAAAAGACTGGGGACTTTGGAGTGGAAGGTGTGCAGATTTGCTTGGAAGAAACCCTACATAGACTCTGGCATTTAATCCTACCTGAGAGGCTGTAGGTGAGAATATAATAAGAATTAAAGGACCAGCCATCCCAAAATTTCCATTTGACTAAACTGGTCCAGGAGAACAACTGGTATTGAATTCCTACTTGTGGTTTTTGGTCCAGCTATTAAGCTCAATTTAGCCTTGATGAGAGGATAAAAGGCGGAGAGAAAGAAAACAGGGTTTGATTGATTGATTAACCGAGATAAATGCAGTCATGAGAATAGACTTAGGCCGTTTATCACTAGTTGCACCTTTGGTGCAGGCAAAAATCAAGTAATTATCATCCGAGGGTCTTATTTGAGTATTTGATATGATCGCTTATTGTACCCTGTGACTATTATTAAGTGTTGTACCTGATGATTGACTCTTGATGAATGTATCTTTTCTTTTATGTACACTGAGAGCATTTGCACCAAGGGAAATTCCTTGTGTGTCCAATCACACTTGGCCAATAAAGAATTCTATTCTATTCTATTCCATTCCATTCTTTCCTTATTCTATTCTATTCTATTCTATTCTATTCTATTCTATTCTATTCTA